CCCATAACGACAACATTAATATATAACATTTTAAATTAAGCAAAGTGAATATAGAGGTTGGCTATAGATGTAGTCTTTCATTCATTAAAACCATGGTTCAATTATCTGTGATCACGCGACGCGACGCAAATAAGTCAGGTTATTAAAACAATTATTAAATACGAGTATGTTAACTATGGCAACCCGTCAATAGAATCTGATATCACTCGTATTATAAGAGATTAAGGCAACACAGTTATCATTTAGGTTAAATTTCAATACTGAAGTAGACTGTGTATGCTCTAAAAAGCAAAGGGAATCCATCTTAATCACTATATTAGATTAGATCAATTATAATATAGTAATATACACGTAAATAACGTTTCAGTCTACCCAGGGACTTATTATTTTATTTATTTAGGTTTTTCATTTGAAATATATATTTGGTTTAAAATGTTGAGAGATTTATCAGTTCATATCTTCTTGGCGGTTTTTGTCATAAAATCTTCTTGAATTCTGGAATATTAAATTTCAAGAAACCAGACGTTAAATATTTAACGTCCAACTATAAAAATAATGAACGACAAGATCACAATCGCCTAATAAGATAGGTATGTATATATTTCCACATTTAATGACGCACTTGAATAGCTGCACAGCTTTAAAGCTGGTGATAAAGATCCAATATATAACGTCACTAGTTGTTACGGACGGCTCGAGGAGCCTCATTGCCGTCGCCCCTGTATGCCCCGTCCCACCCCGCACATCCAGCACGCCACGCACGCCCCGCACGTCCCGCACGTCCCGCACGTCCCGCACGTCCCGCACACCGCCACGAACATCACGCGACCAACGAGCGCGCAGCGAGCCCGCGTGAAAGACCACTTACTGCGAGACCCCCGCCGCGCGAATAAAATAATCAACTGATCAAGAAAAAATAGTGCTCCCTATTGTATAGTCTAGTTTATAGTTAGTGTTAATAAAAAATTGTTAATAAGTATGTGCTCAAAAACAGTTACTATAATGAAAAATAGATTGTGTACAAAAAGCAACTGTGTTGAAATTGAAAATACACTCCATTCAATGGTGGTGTAACCATCGCCGGAAAAAAATTAATTGTATTGCCGCAATATTTGTAAACAGTGAAATAAATTATTTCATAGGTTGTCCCATCTTTCTTTGATAGAATAGTCATATCACACAGTCTACGTTAGTCTCTCAGTAAGTTGGAAAATCAATATAAAGTTTTATAGTCCAACTGCTCTTCCCGTCTTTTTCACTAGTTGCCTACAATTTTAACACGCCTTTATTACCTTGACCTGTATGTACTGTTGCGCGCCACTATTAATGTCTTGTACATGGCAACACTAGTTACACTAGCGCCCTCTAATGTCGAATAGCAGAACCAGGAGAGTCAAGATCCTTCCAGAAATTTCGGGACCGATACGTACTCGAACATTCTAGATGTCGCTACAGTTGAAGGTTCTGGATACTATCTGAGGCCCTATATAAGGCCGGTATAGACCACGACGAAGGCAGTATTGAATTGGCGATACAAGAGAATATTTCGAAGCGAAACAACTGCGAACTTAAGTGATCAGTAGAATTATTGTGTTTTAAGGTGTAATTAGTATCCGTAATTAAAGTGTCAAATTTGGTACTAATTCAATCGGCAGTTTTTAATTGTCTCGAACCACAAGCTCGTAACAGTACGTATTATCTATGTATAAATGCAATGGAATTTTTTTTCAGTATTCATCCACTTCCGGACGTTTGAATAATTTGACAGCGAACTAGTATTCTCACTAGAATCTTTACAGGTCATGATCAATGCTCGTTGTTTTTTTTTTTAATGATATATATATATAGCTACCACAAAGACACTAAGTACATCTATTATAAAAGAAAACAGAAGTTGGACTTCATTTCTAAATGAGTAGCTCATGTGATGATTAACTTTCAACGCAACAAGTGCAGTCATTATGAAGGTCCATTCCCATTTGCTAAATATTGGATTCAATTTTTGATTGGATTTTCTAAGCTTCTGTTCACACTAGTCGAATGTCCCCAGGGGGCTGATAAAAAATGGTTACATCCAATCCTAGATTTTTATTTTTAGGAATTCTTCAAGCCTTAAAGTAATTAAAGGTGTAACGAACATAAGTTCAGGAAAGAGAAAAGTTCCTTGCATTTATGACGGATGCTGGCGGCGGGATATAGGGGTAGCTGGAGTGAGGGAGAAATATCGGACCCATAAGTGTGCAGCGCCAAACACGCCCAAAGGGGAGCGTAGACCGCTGATTTTTGGTCAAGTGTGCGGTGCTCGCAAATCATGCGATTGTAGGAGCCGACAATAAATTGATAGGAGTGACTTAACTGCTATAATAATAACATCCTTCAGACCGTATTTCGGTCACGGCGGATAGTCTCAGACTAGCCATCTGCACAGGACAGGATTACAGTGTCCGAGTTTAGGCGTAAACACAGCAGCACTCACAAAGCGTCTGCTCACCCGCCCGTTGTGTCCTATTTTCGTTCTAACGAAAGATGAGAGTTGAGAATGAAAAGTGCATCTGTGGTAGCGCACACACTCGTGCACTATAATCCTGTCCTGCGCAGATAGATAATCTCTGTTAAGACTAGCCGCCTTAACCCAATTTCGTAACAACTAGGTGTACTAATAGAGCTCCTCGTTTACTTTCGGATACGACACGACAAATGAAAACGAACCGTAGTTTTCTTTGGTTTTATTTTAGGATTTCCAAGTATATATTCCATTAACATCATCACTACAGCCTTTCACAAGTCCTCTGCTGAACGTTGGCCTCTCCCATGGAATGCCACATAGCACGGTTCTGAGCCACATGCACCAATCGACTTACTGCATTTCTTACCAGATCAAAGGGCAATTTGCCATAGCATGATGTGGCAACCATGAGCAACGACAACGCCCCGGCTTCGTACGGGTGATTTCTGAATCTCGACAATTCCAATTGTGAATCTAAGCCGTCCAGGGCACCCACTCAAATATATAAACAAAATATTTCATCAAAATAGCTCCGGCCAATCTCGAGTGATGATCTTTTATACATGCGGCAATTAATTTTTATTATTATATTTTACTACAAATTTTTATTATTATATTTAACTACAAAATCGTAAATAACACTCTGTATATTGCCATCTTTATCGTCACAGCGAGTTATTTCGTACTTTCTAATCGCTCACTACGAGTACTTAAGGCGAGGGTAGGACAAAATGTTATCGTTTATTAGACACGATTTTCACGCGCGAGAATTGATGCTTCTTGAAATAGTAAAGTCTGTTCGCTTAGATACGATCGCCTCTGCGTCGCGCCGCCTTGGCACATGCCGCACTTTGTCAAAGGCGCTGCCGCGATATCAAAGGTCGCCGCGTGCGGCGTACACCCGAAGGAGAATTTGGCATTTTAAAACAAAGCGCCGTAGTGAAAGATTCTTTGCTACCTAACTTGTGTTTTTTATTTATTTTCGTATTTTATTACAATAACCATAAGAGCAATATAATATTCTATTTCATTCTTAAAATAGAAAAACATTTATTAAACAAACACAATAAAAATAATAAAATAAAAGCAAAATAATAAGTGCGCCTCCATTTATAAACCATGATTTTCCCTATGCGGAGTCCCCATAAATAGCTGACATCGCTTGAAAAATGGTTTGAGATGTCATCTTTCTTTCTTTGGTGAGAAACTTAACGACGGCGCGATATTCAATTTTCTCCATAGTGGCTAGTTTCTTCCCGATTGTCTTGTAACTCGATGATAACTCAAAAGCTAATGACTCGATTAGGCTGAAATTTGGTATATATACTAACAATGAGTCACACAAGTACCGCCTATCTGGATGAGTAAACTCATCCTCGCCAACCCCGACATTCCGCGAACTTTTTGACCTCCCCTCGTATATTGCAAATAACATATCCGTCATTCAATTGCTAATGAGCTAATGACTAAACCACCATTAATTATCGGTGTAAGTATATTCACTACCCCATATCATCTATTGGGTATCGAAGAGGCGACAGAGGGAAACAAATCAGATGGGCAGCAAAAAACTGCGATTGCCAACCCGCTTGCCAAGCGTGGCAAATGTGGCAAATATCCCCCCTATGAGGCGATCTATGGGGAGGCCTATATTCAGCAGTTAACTTTAATAGGCTGTAACGGACTTGCAACACATAATACATACATACATAAACACTCACGCCTGCCACCCAGGGTAGGCAGAGACTACGGACTTCCATTTGGCACGATCCTGACACATCTCTCTCGCTTAGTTTACATCCATATATCTACACATACAGGCTCGTCGGTTAAGGGCACTCCTAATCTGGCCCATTTTCAATATATCGCCAATATGGTCGATAAACCTTCGTCTAGGGCGTCCCATCCCGACTCTATCATAACAAATAACAAACACATAAATTCACTATATTTTTCCCATAAGATTACAATCGCTAATTGAAAGAACGGTAGCCTCTTTCCATGTATTACCCTCTCGGAATCAAAACATACGAAAACATATTGTAAATACAGAATATACAACATATAACAAAAACCCTGTGGTTCCCGTTAAATACGTTATTAGAATCAGTATCAATAGTGGGTTTTGTTACATGACACATGACACTAAGTTTGAATAGAATATCTATAAGAAAAGGATATAAAGTGGAGTGTTTTATTTGTACTTTAATCATCTTTAGGTTTTTAACGGAAATCAAATTTTCATTCATCCATTCATTCTTTATAGTAGTTAATAAATTCAAAATTTCCGAACTTGAAAAGTCTATCTAAAGGTGGTCTAAGTAAATATTTAAAGGTGACAAGAAAAGCGCAATTGAAGTGTGCGTTGTCGCCCTTGAGGACTAACCTGGAATATCTCACCATCAATATTTGAGTTACAGCACAAACACCAGGTTAAGTGGATTACCATACACTGTTCCCAGGTGTACATTACGTAATACTATCTACAAATTATTTAAAAGTGGTGCGTCAATGGTTCAGATTTTGTTCGCTCATAGAACAGCATGTACGCAGTGCAGCGGAGGACTTCCTGGAGAGACACCTCATGAACTAATGTGTCTGAGGTGTACCACCATCTGTGGAGAAATAAACATAACATATAAATACAGTGGAATCCGTTTATAATGACATCGAAGGTAAATAACAAACACGTCATACTAAGCGGACGTCATATAAAGCATTTTGTAGAAAATAAACAATCTCCAGTTTTTCTTAGCATGTATTTACTTTAATAAAGAAAAATCTTTAATTAAAGTAACTTAAATTATTGTTTTTAAAAATCATTGAGATTGTCGAGTGACCAACCCCAAATTCCCTTGCGAGAGATGAGTTGGATTCTCCATTTGCTAAACTGCATGTGCTGAGACGAGATTTCATTTTTTTCACAAATCACTAACAAACAATGTCGTGACCTTCAACAGTCAATTACCCACTGAGACTCAAATAAAAAAAGCCATGCACGCGCCGAACGTCGTCGGGTATCAATTGACTCTCCTGGACACTGCCGAAGAGGAGGCTGGGTATTACCATCTGCTTGGGATCTTGTCATTAATAAAATCAAAACTTAAACTAAAACCAACACAGTAAGCTCATTCTGTATAGATCGGACGAAAATTAATAATTAAAAGATGAAAGTACTCTGGGTTAACTTAAAAACAGAAACAGAAACTTTTTTATTCGATATAGATTATAAATAATACTTATTGAAAGTCACTCTTTTGTTTAATTACCACTGGTTCGAAAAAAACCTCTGTCCTGGGAAGAACCAGCAAGAAACCCAGCGGGACTTTTTCTTTTTAAATAACAGCTTACAATCATGATGTTACACAAATTAACAACACAACAAATTAGAAATAGCTTGGTAGCGATCACCTCATTTCCAGGGGTTATTATCATCTATAAGTTCATTAATATTATAATAACCCTTTTTATACAAACTTAGTTTAATAAAGTTTTTGAACTTTGAGCAGGTCAAATTTTGTATATTTTCTGGAATTTTGTTGTAAAAGCATATACATCGCCCCAAGAATGAATTACTGACTCGATGGAGTCGAGTAACTGGTACTACTAGCTTGTGTCTGTTCCTAGTATTTACAGAATGAATATCACTTATTTTTGTAAAACTACTTTTATTTTTGTGTACATACATTACATTTTTATAAATGTATTGAAAGGCCAAAGTTAATATATTAATTTCCATAAATTTTTGTCGCAGCGACTCTTTAGGCTTTAAATCATAAATTGCTCTAATGGCCCTCTTCTGTAAAACAAATATAATTTCAGTGTCAGCTGCGTGTCCCCATAGTAAAATACCATACGACATTATGCTATGGAAATAGCTAAAGTAAACTAGTCTAGCTGTTTCAACACTGGTAAGACTTCTAATCTTTTTTACAGCATACTAAGTCTGCTTGCTAGTTTTGATATATGGGGGCTCCATTGAAGCTTCGCGTCTAGTGTGATTCCAAGAAAAATGGTGGTATCTACAAGACTCAGTTTCTCCCCATTTAAAATTACATTAGTATTTAATTGTTTGACATTTGGAATCATGAATTTCATACATTTCGTTTTAGTACCATTTAAATTATACAAATTATTAACATTGAACCAATTTACTAATTTAGATATACCATTATTTACTTCATCATATTTTAGTAATTGTCGACTTAATTTGAAAATTAGAGAAGTGTCATCTGCAAATAATACTATATCATGGTGATGACCTACTATGTAAGGTAAGTCATTAATGTATACAAGAAACAGAAAGGGGCCGAGAATTAAGCCTTGAGGCACGCCCATTTTTACCATCGATTCGGAAGAGCTCATACTGTTAATGATAACTGTTTGCGTTCTCTTACTTAAATATGAAATAATTAATTTAAGAGCATCACTTCTTACACCGTAGTGTTGAAGTTTCCTGATTAATGTTTCATGGTGAACACAATCGAAGGCCTTGGATAAGTCACAAAATATACCCAAAGCATCCTGTGAATTCTCCCATGCATTAAAGATATATTTAATCAGCTCAACACCGGCATCAGTTGTCGAACGACCCCTTGTGAAACCAAATTGATTTTAATGAAGTAAGTTATTTATATTAAAGAAATTTAACATTTGATCAAGAATAATTTTTTCAAAAATCTTACTAAGTGTTGGTAGTACAGAAATAGGTCTAAAATTGGCGGGGTCTAATGTACTACCAGATTTAAATAAAGGTATTACTTTAATATGCTTCATTAAACCAGGAAACACACCAGATTCGACACTAGTATTAAAAATAATAGCTAAATGAGGCGCGATTGTATCTATTATAGATGTAATAACTTTAACGGAAATTCCCCACAGATCTGCAGTTTTCTTAACATCAATAGTTATAAAATGTTTTACAATATCTTTTGATGATACTTTATGAAATGTAAAATTCTTTGTACACGCATTTACATTTTGTTTAAGTAATGATTCGGCGACGGCAGGAAAAGAATTCAGTGACTTAGTGGTTAATATCGGAATATCAGTAAAATATTTCACAAAAACCATTGCAACGTCCTGATCTGATTCAGTTAATTTGTTGTTAACACTTAACTGGTAGTTTGAATTGCGAGAGTTGATTTTACCAGTTTCGCTATTAATTATACTCCATGTCATTTTCATTTTATTAGAAGCCGTCTTAATTTTGTTGATCAAATGCAAAGAATTGGCTGTGGAGCACACTCTTTTAAAAATAAATTAAAAAGACCATATGATTTAAACAATGATCTAAATTTAATATTCATGGAGGACGCTTCTAGGAGATTGATATTAAAGTCTCCACATATTACAACAGACTTATTCTGTTTGTTAAGTTTAACAAAAACTTCTTTCATAATCTTTTCAAAAGTATCGTATATAGAACATCGTCGTATGTAGACGCTCACAACAATGAGGTGCTCAAACTCAACACATGCCATTTCTACAGTTCGCTCAACAGAGAGGCTCACAATATCTTTACGTTCTTTACATGATAATAATTTACTAGCTAATATTAAGGAGCCACCTCTTCAAACCATTTCTCTATTGAAAGAACTGACCACCTGGTGATTACTGAAGTTAAACATTAAGTTATAAGCTTTTAACCAATGTTCAGTAATACATAAAATATGAATATTGTTGCTATTTAAGAACAACTCAATTTCTAGCTCTTTGCCTATCATGCCTTGTATATTTTGATGCACCAGGTGTAAACAATTTTCATTATCATTCTGTGGAAACATACAATTAAAGATTTGTAAGTTACATTCTAAATTATTTAAATTATTAGAACTGCTAGAGATTATCTCTATTGTCTCATTTTCTAATTTAAATTACTTGGAAATGATTCCAAATCACATATTAAGTCATTATTCTGCTCAAAAGAAGCAGATGTCTGTGTAGCCAAGTCCTTGGATGAGTTAATATATAAACAATAAGATAGCACATTTGCTATCTGTCTTAAATTATATTTAGATAGGTAATACCTATCTCTAATCAAAAAATTCTTAATTAAATTATTTATGTCTATTAAATTAATTCTATTATTATAATTATAACAATTAATTATAACAATTAACACTTAGACATCGGGACGTCAACTACCTTAGTGCCCTCGGGACTGGGAATTAAAAATAAGTAAAGTTTAACGCGACAAAATCAGTAACAATAGTTTTATTTTATTATTGGATGGATAAGTTTTTCATTAAGGATCGCCGGTGAGTTGGTGACACAGTACCTATTGGTCTCGAAGCCGTTGCCACGTCTGTAGGTGGCGAAGTGTCCGGAGCGCGGGCCGCCCACGTGCACCACGGCCGCCGCCAGCCGGTACGCGGCGCGCGCCTCCCCGGCAGTGGCCACGGCGTCCAGCGACGCCAGCCCGCTGCGGACACGGCCCTCTGCTATAAGGCTCGCCAGCTCCGGCTAAACAACAATCACAATATTCACATTCTATTAGAGAATTAAAGTCCGCACGTTCTATCTTGATCGGGCTGAAAGTAAATCGTGAGTGACTGCGCAGATACAGTTTTTCGGAACAAAATGGTGACAAGAAACTGAGAGTGTGTGCGGTAACTATTACTAGAGATGCCAATACACATGTTGCGTATATATACTAGATTATCGTTATTTTCGATTAAGATCGTAAGTTATATTTCTTATAGTTAATATTAATGCGTAGGGCGCAATGTTCAGCGTCTGCGGGAAAGCGACGAGCTCGCTCAACTCGCTCAGTGCACTGACCTGCGGTTGCTGCACAGCCGTATAGGGCGCCATGCTCAGCGTCTCCGGAAAGGCGACGACCTCGCTCAGTTCACTCAGTGCACTGACCTGCTCTTGTTGCACAGCCGTATAGGACGCCATGCTCAGTCTCCGGGAAGGTGACGACCTCACTCATCTCGCTCAGTGCACTGACCTGCGGCTGCTGCATAGCCGTGTAGGGCGCCATGCTCAGCGTCTCCGGAAAGGCGACGACCTCGCTCAGCTCGCTCAGTGCACTGACCTGCAGTTGCAGCACAGCCATGTAGGGCGCCATGCTCAGTGTCTCCGGGAAGGCAACGACCTCGCTCAGTGCACTGACCTGTAGTTGCAGCACAGCCATATAGGGCGCCATGCTCAGCGTCTCCGGGAAGGCGACGACCTCGCTCAGTGCACTGACCTGCTGTTGCTGCACAGCAGTATAGGTCGCCATGCTCAGCGTCTCCGAAAAGGCGACGACCTCGCTCAGCTCGCTCAGTGCACTGACCTGCAGTTGTAGCACAGCCATGTAGGGCGCCATGCTCAGCGTCTCCGAGAAGGCGACGACCTCGCTCAGTGCTACGACCTCGCTCAGCTCAGTGCACTGACCTGCGGTTGCTGCACAGCAGTATAGGGCGCCATGCTCAGCGTCTCTGGGAAGGCGACGAACTCCCCACGCTTGTTCAGCTCGCCGCCCGCCCACTCCACGCGCGCGATGTGCAGCACCAGGCAGCACGGCAGCTGCACCACAAATGTTATCATTCCATAAACATTGCGCAAACGTGGTAGAGCCATGCTGCGGCTATTCGTCGTTAAGTTAGAATTCAGTCCACGTTACCCGCTTGCCCCGCCGTGTAGTGGCGGTTAAGATTGCCGTGTAGTGGCGATTAAGAATATCCACTACCCCATGTCTTCCCGTGGGTATCGTAAAAGGCGACAGTGGGAATCAGGCAGAAGATGGACAGCAGCATCTTCCTGATAACAGCAACATCACAATAAAAAAAGCTGCGGTTGCCAATCCGCTCGCCAAGCTTGGCAACTATGGCAATATACCTCCCAATGAAAAAAGTTTCGAAAGGACGGCCCCCAGTCCCCGGCGGTGAAAGTATGAAGATCGCGTCATTCAGTGTGCCTTCCGAATCACGTCCGTCTGTGTGCCACACGCTGTCATTGTAGTCGAGTGTATATTAGACTTATTGGAAAACTACAAATAAGATTAGCTTTCTGATGAAAAAAAGCTAGTAATCGGGGAATAATAAATGTTTCTTGTTCTCCTGTAATTTTTTGGAAAAATTGAGGTTCGCCCCTTTGCTTTGGCAACGATGATGTAGAATTTACGAAAGTTTAGTGTTTGCGTGAGTCTTAAACAAAGATAAGTGTACTTGTTTTTATCACTTTATACAAAGATTTTTTTATTGATTATGGCTTATTTTGTTTTTATATGTACATATGCAATATAATCTACTATTTTAGATGTCTCCAGTTGTTAGGTATGATTAAATTAGTCAGATTGGAGGCGGTTGTTCATGATGAAGATGACGATGAGAACGCAAAGCAGCAAGAGATACTGAGTGAGCCAGAAGACATATTAAAAGTGTAAGAACATCAGCTGACTGATGGTGATAGTAAAGAATACACAATTACGCCAGTTATCGTAGAAGGTTTTGATTCTGGTGTTCCTATTTCTAGTTACCAAAAGGACACTGGCGTATAGAATCTGATTCTTCACAATCTGAAGATTCTATGCACATTGTAACTGATCAAAGTAGTCAACACAGAACATAATATGGTTCCAGAGTTGTTATAGCCAGAAAAAAAATATTCGATGCAAAAATGGACATAAATAGATTACGAAGCGTAGACAGCTAAGAACGAGAGCTACTTCTAGAAATATCATACGTTTTGTAAAACTGCGTGAAATGTCATGTTTATTTCTTAGATATGAAAAACTTGAAGAAATAGTCAAATATACCAATGATGAAATCCAATTAAGAAAGTCAAACTAATCCAATATTGCGACGAGATATTAAAGAGCACACATAACAGGTATCTTAGGTATTGAAACTATTTTAAATTGGCAATTATACAGGAATCAAATTCTAGAAAAACATGTGCCTTGTTCCTGTCTAAGGCTAGAAAATACAACTAACTTTTGCATGAAATGTAAAAGAGCCATATGTAGGGCGTACAACATGAATATGTGTCCAAACAGTGTTGATAAAAAAAACGTGTACTATTTCCATTATTGTGTGAATAAAACCAAAGAATGTAACTGTAATTTCGATACTAATTAAAATTTTTATAATTCGTAACTTTATTCCGTTTGTTAATGACATCCGAATGTTAAGTAACAACGTGACTTGCAGGATAGTTTATTAATCTAGGGTTAAATTACAAAAAGATATAAAACCGAAACACACATAAAAATTAATGTCAATCCGGGTATACCCCGGATCCAGATTTATCTGGATCACAATATAAGTGTTGCTGCTGACTGTGTGAAAAAGCTCAGTCACACAGCGAGCTATGGTTATAAGATTATTTAGGCACCTTTCCAAAACTGACGGTCCGTATATGCTTGGTGTGGGCGACGCCGTCCTCCTGCTGGGCGCACTTCGTGCAGCGCACGCCCTTCACCAGCTCGGGTGCCGTGAAAGCGCGTAATAGACCTGCAGATATTTTTATATATCAAATCACGAGTATTTCTCCACACTAATTTTAAAGTAATAGATTTTGAAATTAGTAACTTACCAGATAAACTGAAGGAGCCAGTGCGTCCTATGCTGGAGTTCGCCATGGACAGTGATATGCTGTCAAACTTATCATACCGGACAGGGCTCTGCGAAATTTCAAGCACTTTTGTTAACTCGAATTTTTTTGGATAAATAAAATAAATAATACTGCACAATTGAAGTGATAACTACCCAAGAGCTGGTTGGATCAAACTTACTCAATGCCAAGGAGAGTTCAGTTAGTAATGAAACCGCACCGCCCTACAAATGAATTCCCATCTTACTTTTCGGGTGGGCGTATTAGGCGTAGATTGGTCACCCACGGTCATCGATCACTAATAAAAAACTAGATCCACAATCCCATACAAAAGTTCTCTAAAAACGTCGCCAAATGTTTTGACGTAATTCTAGTTGATATAAATATACATTAATGTAAATTCAACCTTAAGTGAAATGCCTAAAGTTGTATTGACAAAGCAACGTACAAAAAGCAATAAAATTTTAAGACCGAGGCTCGTCGCTTGGACAAGGAGAGTGGAGTCGAACTTCACAATATTTTTTTGTTACTATAATTTTAATTTTATAATTATTTAAACTTATTTTAACGGAGGGGACGGCAGGGACGGCAGGGAGCACGCACCTTGGCGGAGCAGACGGTACAGTGCAGGTGGCTGGCGAGTGTGCCACGGGTGGGCGGGCGGGGAGGGGACGGCAGGGACTTACGCACGCACCTTGGCGGAGCAGACGGTACAGTGCAGGTGGCTGGCGAGCGTGCCACGGGTGGGCGGACGTAGTGGGGACGGCAGGGACTTACGCACGCACCTTGGCGGAGCAGACGGTACAGTGCAGGTGGCTGGCGAGCGTGCCACGGGTGGGCGGACGTAGTGGGGACGGCAGGGACTTACGCACGCACCTTGGCGGAGCAGACGGTACAGTGCAGGTGGCTGGCGAGCGTGCCACGGGTGGGCGGACGTAGAGGGGACGGCAGGGACTTACGCACGCACCTTGGCGGAGCAGACGGTACAGTTCAGGTGGCTGGCGAGCGTACCACGGGTGGGCGGGCGCTGAGGGGACGGCAGGGACTTACGCACGCACCTTGGCGGAGCAGACGGTACAGTGCAGGTGGCTGGCGAGCGTACCACGGGTGGGCGGGCGCTGAGGGGACGGCAGGGACTTACGCACGCACCTTGGCGGAGCAGACGGTACAGTGCAGGTGGCTGGCGAGCGTACCACGGGTGAGCGGGCGCTGAGGGGACGGCAGGGACTTACGCACGCACCTTGGCGGAGCAGACGGTACAGTGCAGGTGGCTGGCGAGCGTACCACGGGTGGGCGGGCGCTGAGGGGACGGCAGGGACTTACGCACGCACCTTGGCGGAGCAGACGGTACAGTGCAGGTGGCTGGAGAGTGTGCCACGGGTGGGCGGGCGCTGAGGGGACGGCAGGGACTTACGCACGCACCTTGGCAGAGCAGACGGTACAGTTCAGGTGGCTGGCGAGCGTACCACGGGTGGGCGGGCGCTGAGGGGACGGCAGGGACTTACGCACGCACCTTGGCGGAGCAGACGGTACAGTGCAGGTGGCTGGCGAGCGTACCACGGGTGGGCGGGCGCTGAGGGGACGGCAGGGACTTACGCACGCACCTTGGCGGAGCAGACGGTACAGTGCAGGTGGCTGGCGAGCGTACCACGGGTGGGTGGGCGCTGAGGGGACGGCAGGGACTTACGCACGCACCTTGGCGGAGCAGACGGTACAGTGCAGGTGGCTGGCGAGCGTACCACGGGTGGGCGGGCGCTGAGGGGACGGCAGGGACTTACGCACGCACCTTGGCGGAGCAGACGGTACAGTGCAGGCGGCTGGCGAGCGTACCACGGGTGGGCGGCGCGGGCGCAGGGCGGGCGGGCGGCACCGCCCAGCGCCGGCTCGCCGCGCCCAGCTGACACAGCGAGCGCGACACACCGCGCGACAGCCGCACCGGCTCTACACATAACGTCTTGTTTTTTTTATGGAATAAGGGTGACAAACGAGCACACAGTCCACCTGATGGTAACTGGATGCTGTGGCCCATAGACATCTACATTTATCCTCAATTAAGAATCAAATTGCAAATGCGTTGTCACCCCTGAAAACCAAGATGGAATGCGTTTCCAGTAAAAAGAATTTCCGGTGTCTACAAACAGTCTGCCTCAGTTGCGCTCGTAACATTAGCTCCGTAAAGAGTAAATATAAAATCAATAATATAGAAGTGCTCTTACATTACAACATATCTAGTATAATAACACTTTAAAGTAAGTGCATCATTCGAGCAAAATAATAGAACTCAATAATAAACGCAATTTATTGGAATAAGAGTGCAAACCATAAGAGTGTATAAGTTTAGGGTAGTGTTGAAAAGACAAGACTATAAACTAATAAAAAACTCTGAATCGCTTCTACATTTGTCCTAACTTCTTCTTATTCTACATTTTTAAGCGTGTACTGGTAATATGATTTTAATTTTTAAATTCAATTCTCTAACATGTTATTATCAAAATGTTCGCGGGCTTCGTACAAACTTAACAGATGTTAGAAATCAGATTCTTAACTCATGTTATGATACTATTGTTTTAGAAGCATAAGAAAATCGACGGTGGAGTTTTAATAGCAGTGAAAATAGATGGTATTAGTTACAGCAGACCAATTGAGTAGGAAAGTCCGTGTGAGGAACTATGGGTCTCAATAAAAGTTAATTCAGGTAATGTCAAAGAATATCTACATGTGTTCGCAGTATACATTTCTCCGCCGGTCGCTTGTGACACTCTGCAAGCTTTCATTAATAATACAACTGAATCAATAAATAATAATGATTTGGTTTTAGTTAATAATTATATTCTATTACTTGGCGATTTCAATATGAGTTCTATCACTTGGACAATGCAACCTGACAATAATTAGTACGCATTTCCAAGCAACCGTATTAATTGCCTCCTTAAAAGTAGCCTAATAGATTTCTTTGCTTTGCACGATCTCAAACAATTTAAGGCCATATTCCTCAATCTCACTGAAAGTCAATTTCCACTACGCAAAATAGATAATTTGACTATTAGACATTACTTAAAAAAATTGCTCTACGATATGATTTCTATAACTTAAGCGTTAAGCGTCTACACAATTATAATTAAGCTGACTACGATTCCATTATAGCATATCTTAATGATACTGATTCGCTCCTCTTAAATAATGTAAATGAAATGGTATCTAGGTTTTATGAAATTTTACAGATGGCAATAGATAAATTCGTCCCCATTTCATGTAAATCAATAAAATAATATCCTACTTGGTTTACGCCTGCCCTAATTGAGCTTACTAAACGTAAACATAAATTACATTAAAAAATTAAATTATATAATAACCCACAAGAAATAATTGAATTTGCTTATCTAAGAAAAGACTGTGATAAACTTATAAAACAATGCCACCAACAATATATATTACGCACTGAGGAAGCTATTGACCATAATCCGAAATATTTCTGTACGCATAAAAAACATAAAGCTTCAAATTACCCTAATAAAATGTCTCTAAATAATCAACAGGCAAATACTAGGCAAGAAATATGTGATTTGTTTGGTAGTCACTTTTCATCGGTATTTAATAAAAGCTGTGCTATAAATCATTCTTCTCTGCCATCAATTCCTAAATCCAAATATTATTTAGACAAGATTTACTTTTACAAGAGAGAAGTTCAGAAACGACTAAAAAGACTTGATACATCTAAAGGTGCAGGCCCAGACAATGTTCCGCCTATATTTATATACTTGCTGTTCACCGCGACTTCGCCCGCGTGTAATTTAGGGTGTTACGGCCTACAGCTGCCCATGTAAATGTCGTCTTGGCTGGGGCCCATAGCAGCTTCCTCAACGGGCAGACGCAGGTAGGGCCCGATTGGCCACATGAAAATGTCCTATCATAATAAACTATATGGGAGAATGCTAGAAACACATAGTACGTACCAGTATCAGAAGCTAACTTCGCACCAAGGCTCGGTCAGGCCGTGAGTGGGTGTAAGGTGAATGGCAAGTAGTGTTCAGTGTAAATGTCTGAGACCTTGAGCAACTTAGGCGACCAGCAGAGGCCGAGTTCCAGGCTGCCCCACAATGCTGCATCGCTCCAGCAGGCTCCACCGCTGGATCATTTCTTTCTTCATTGTCACTATTTCAGTTTATTAGCTTCATTGTACATTTAACTAACTTAAACTCGCCTAATTCCCCATTCATCGTAGAATCGAACACGTGATACCAGATACAGTAAGGACAGTAGTTCGAAATTCGACATTCAATGTCCCGGATTCACTTATCACAAAATTATAAATAGGGAACTAAAGCGAGCTCTTAATGAGTTATACGGTTCAGCGTTAAACACAACTAAGTTCCTCCATTCGACACCAAAACACCACGTCGCGAAAAGAATTCAAAATACGCCTCGTTGACTCGTAAACTAACAAGCCAACCAACACACAAAAAGGGGCACTTAACGCGACGGCACAATTATAATGATTTCCTGACAATCAACCGGGAGAAGCTCTCGAACAAGGAATGCGCGGTTCGAATCCTAGACCGTATAAATATACGGTCTAGGATTCGACGCGAATTCACACTCGACGCGCGCGTGCACAATTCCGCATCCCCGAACAAGTTAAATATTGCAAAATTCACATATCCACGTAACGAAGTAACACGCACTTAATCTAACTATCTGGACCCTACAACGGTCGCGTGAACTTCGGCCGCGATAACGAGCTACGCGGGTTCCCCGCATCTTTATGGACAGTTGTTTGGAAAATTTGAAAGTTGAAGAATGCGGGTTAAGAATGGGTGAGTTAACCGTCAAATGCCTTTTGTACGCCGATGATCAAGTCATTCTTGCGTCGTCGGCGGCCGAGTTGCAAATGATGGTTACATTAATGAACAGGTCATTAAAAGAAAGGGGAATAAAAGTGAACGCAAGTAAGACGAACGTTATGGTTTTTGAAAGAGGAGAAAGTAAAACTATATGCAAAATAAGAATAGAAGGGGAAATTGTCGAGCAAGTAGATGAGTTTGTGTATTTGGGATGTGTATTTAGCAGGGATGGTAGATATGATAAGGATATAGAACAACAAGTGAACGCGGGAAATAGAGTAAATGGGGCTCTACACTCTATTATGGAAAGTCAGAATGTATCCAAAAAGGCACGTATGGCAATTCACAATGCTGTGTTAGTCCCTACATAATGTATGGTAGTGAAAGTTGGGTGTGGCAGAAGAAGCACGAGAGTAGAATAAATGCTGTAGAAATGCGGTCATTAAGGAGTATGTGAGGGCTGAATCTGAATGACAGAGTGTGAATGAAATTGTGTGATAAGAGTGTGGTTTGCAAGATGATGTTGTGACTAGGATTAAGAAAGGAATGCTTCGGTGGTTTGGTCATGTAGAAAGAATGAATGAGGAAAGAGTGACAAAGCAAATTTATGTTGCAGAGGTGAACCGCAGAATCGGGAAGGGAAGCGAAAGTTTATCGACCAAATTGGCGATATATTGAAAATGGGCCAAATCAAGAGTACCTTTAACCGATGAGCGTGTATGCGTAGGTATATGGATGTGGAGGAGGCGAGAGAGGTGTGTCAGGATCGTGTCAAATGGAAGTCCATAGTCTCTGCCTACCCCTCTGGGTGACAGGCGTGAGTGTGTATATATGTTTGTAATATAATGATAGAATGTTGGTCAATTTTATTCTTTTCTATAATATTAATCTATTTTTTAAATTTAACATACCTAATTATTTTGATTTTTTTTTTACACTTGTGTCATTGAATAAAATTAATGCATGTCGTGATAACCTGTAAAAGAAGTACAATCATCTTGAGTATTTTAATATCATGTACATATTGTAATACTATTGTTAACTTCCTTCTGCGTAGCATTGAAAGGAAGTTAATGGTTTTAGCTGGCAGTCTGTTAGTCTGTATGCCGACACGATAACTTCCGTTCCACTGGACCGATGGACTTTAAATTTGGTATGTGGATACCTTGAGGTAGTAGCTCGGTCAAGTTTGAATTTGGGTCCTGTAGGTCAAAGGGCACCAGAGATATGGGATTCACGCAGAAGGAAGTTGTTTTTCTTGAATTTACATTCAACTCGTTATTTCTGTTGGTAGTCCTAATAAAATAAATAAATAAATAAAATAAATAAACACCATACAAAACAGAGCCACTTTAAGGAGCTATTTCACGCTGGTATTCTGGTTGAGCGTGATCCTTCCTCAGTCGAGTCGACATGGTATGGTACAGCCATTTGTGTATATGATGTTACTGTGACTAGAGCTCAGTAAACCTGACGGTTAGTGGATATCTAGGCCTATGGACACCTACATCTCGATTAAGAATCAAAATTCATATGCTTTGAGGCCCCTGAGGACTAAGATAGAAAACTTTACCATACAAAATACAGCATTATTACAGAGTTAAAGAAAATGATACTATATCAAAATGAAAACAGTCCACACCTGGCTCTACAAGGTCAGGTTCATCTGGTGGTGCAGCTGATGCCGGGCGGAGCGACAGCGGCGCGGCGGGCGGCGAGGCTGGCGAGGCCAGGGCCGACCACGCGCGACCACCAGCGCCCAATCCCAGAGCATCCGAAAGACAGCCAGGCTACCATTAAAGTTTACTCACTGTAATATAGGCCTAAAAATGCATTTTATATTGTACAAGCTCTAACACCCTATTTCACCCCCTCAGGGGTTGAATATTCCAAAATCCTTTCTTAGTGGGTACCTATGCTGAGAAAGGTATATATATGCTATTTTCAATTCAATTTCAAGTCAAACCTGCATATATTTTAGGAGATCTTGTGATGAGTTAACAGTGTTTCATTTATGTATATATATATATGCTGTCCCAGAACTCAACGGCAAGCCGAAACGGGGTGACAGGATTGATTGTAACCATCATGAGAAAAATCAGAAAAAAAAATCTATCCCATGCAGTTTGGAAATTATGGGCATTTAAGAAAAACCTAGAAATTTTGTCAAACTGTAAACATTTTTGGTTATTGTGGTTAGTTTTAATTATTTTTGTTTATTTAAACTTTGGAACCGTAATCCTAAATAACATTTCTAGAACCACAGTCAAAAATAATGACACAACTGCCCCAAGTTTTCTAGAATTAAGACTATTTGTTAAACTATGAATTTAAAATTTTCAAAATTTGTCGACTTTGAAAGGCCCTCCTTTAAAAAAAAATGTACTAAAGTGCCTTGGCAAGTGCCATTAAAAGTACGCGCATTTAATCAGGATTATAAAATGGTACAATACTTGTTAGTTTCATACTAAAAAAAAAAACTAGTAAAAAAATAAACACCTCGAGTAACCCGATTTTTGCTAACTTATTTTACTCAGTTCAAAGATTTTTTATTCAAATGTTTTTTATTGATGTGAGAGATGGATAGTGGGCATGTTTGCCATGAGCGACCGAGACAGATAGTGACGCCACTTTTACCAAAGTCGACAGAAGTAAGAAAAATTAATAAAATAATAAAAAATCTTGACCTAGTTTAGTTTAGGTTTATTGGAATAAAAGTCAGATAGGGAAATAACATTTTTTTATTACAATAAATGTTCAAATTGTTTACCATCAGCCTCAATACACGCCCTACATCTCATTAAAAAAGATCTCGTTATTAGTCGGGCATATCCTCGAGAGTTGATGTCCTCAGCAGCTTGAGAATATCGTTCACGCAGCTCGGCTACGCTGTCAATGGGCTTTGAATAAACTTTCTCTTTGAGAACGGCCAAATAAAAAAAAAATCGAGGGGATTTATATAGTGCCTGAACGTCCAATCCACCTTCCCGGATATTCCTGGTCAAGGAAATTACTTACTTGCACTGCGTAATGCGCTGGGCAGCCATCTTGTTGATACCATGTGGCGACGATCTATTAGTGGTACGTCCTCTAACAAGGTTGGCAAATTTTCTCGTAAAAAATGTAGGTAATTCGTGCCATTCAAGTTCTCAGGCAGCTCAAAAGGCCCAATAATTTTGCCGTTTAAAATTTCGGTCCACAGGTTTACTTTAAAGCGATACTGGGATCTGTCTAGTCGCATTAAATGTGGATTCGCCACATGCCACTCGTAAAAATTGTGAAGTTTATGTAACCATCTTTTTAAATGTAGATTCATCTGACCAGAGAATTTTTTGGATGAATTGGGGATTATCATTATGCCTCTGTAGCATTGTTCTAAAAAATGAAATCCTTTCAGGATAATCTCGAGGAAGAAGACTTTGAACTCATTGTACGTGAAACGGGTGCATTTCGCTCTTTGTAAAATACGACATGATGTGCTTTTGGGTATTCCCATTCTTTCTTGACTTTCACGAACGGAAATACTTGGGTCATCTGCGACCACTTGCAACACTTCTACCTCGTAAGGAAAGCGAGCTCTACCTCCAGCCCGTATTTGATTCGGGATATGGCCGCCCTCCGTGAGTGAACGGTGCACATTAACAACACGCGGTGATCCGGATAGCGCTCTAAATTTGCATATCTTTCACGATAAACTCTAACGGCGACACTTGCATTGCATCTGAATTCCCCATAAATGAGGTGCATGTTTGCATATTCTTTTGAAGTGTAGCGCGTAGGCATGGTAGATAACAAGGAGCTAACACAAAAGTCCAATTCCAAAAGAGAGAGGCCAAAGTTGTCGGTATGTAATCAACAAGTCCAATTCACAAAAATCCAAGTCCAAAAAGAGAAGCCAAAGTTGTCAGTACTAAATCAACACAAGCGAATACGGAAAAGTGCGCAGTGGACGAATGAGCGAAACGTAGACGTACTAACTGGTGTCAGACGCATCTCCGTTTCACTGCGTGGCGTCACTATCTGTCTCGGTCGCTCGTGACAAACATGTCCACTATCCATCTCTCTCATCATTTTTCCGTAAAATTAAGAACCTACCAAGAGCTTGTGCGAATAAAAACATTTGAACTGAGTAAAATGGGTTAGCAAAAATCGGGTTACTTTTGATTTTGATTTGATTTATTTATTTGCTTTGAAAAAGGGGTACATTTAGGTGGTTATTATATAGTGTAGATCAGCTTTTTCAGCCATCTATAATAGCATGCAAATACATTTTTTATAGTTAAATTTATCATATTACAATATAAAATTCAATTAAAATATTTATCGTCATGACAATGTTTACAAATGAGCAATACCAATACATACAAAATTTAAATAAAATTAAGATTAAAATTTAATTAAAAATATGTAACTACTGTTGTGTCACATCATGTCAAATTTAGATAGTCATTCACATTATAAAAACAATGTTCATTTAGCCACCTGTAAAAAGCGCCTTTAAATCTATTAAGGGGTAAGTCTTTTATATTTTGGGGTATTTTATTAAATATGAGAATACACATCCAGTAGCAGTTATTTTTAAATCGAGCACTCTTGGGTATAATTTCAGCAACAAGTCTATTGCCATTTCTGGTATTTCGTGTGTAAATCTCTTTCGCTTGTCTGAAATAATACATGTTTTGTTTTACAAACTTTGCAATTTCAAAGTTTATTAGTTTAGTAGTATTTTCATAGATATAAATAACGGCCTGCAAGGCTCATCGGGTGCAGTGCCACATATTGCTCTAATACATTTTTTTTGGGCAATGAATGCCTTTTTTACATCTGTGCTATTACCCCATATAATGAATCCGTATCGCAAAACGGATTCCACATAGGCAAAGTACGCAGTAAGTGCCGTATTTTTGTGGCTACTTTGCGTAGTTTGTAAAGTGCGTACGAAAATCTATTTATTTTTTTACAAACATTTTCAACTTGATTTTTCCAATTAAGTTTTTGATCTACCCATATACCTAGGAATTTTGTCATATTTGTACTTTTTAGGTTTTGTCCTTCAAAGTTAATGTTTATTGTCTGATATAATATGTCATTGAAATTTATAAAATAAGTTTTGTCAAGATTTATAATTAGATTATTATTTTTAAGCCATTCTATTATTGTTTTTACTGTGCTATTAATGTCATTAATATGGTCTTTTAGAGATTGTTTACGATCTGTTTTAACTATTACAGATATGTTATCAGCGAATAAAATGCATTTGTGTTTAGTTACATCCGGAAGATTATTTATATAGACCAAGAACAACAGTGGTCCCAAAACGCTGCCCTGTGGAACTCCATATTTGTTTTCTTTAAAATCTGATATGTAATTTAGGACCACATGATTGCAGTCTGGTCTGCTTATTTCAACAGATTGTCGTCTATTTTGCAAGTAGGTTTTAATCCAATTTAAAGCAGTGCCTCTAATGCCACATTTTTCCAATTTTTCTAATAATAAACTATGTGATACAAAATCGAAGGCCTTCGACATGTCAAAGAAAAGAGCAGTTGTATAATTATTAGCATTTAGACATGTTAGAGTCTCCTTTACCATATCGAAAACAGCATGTGCAGTAGATTTACCCCTCTGGAACCCATACTGACTGTGATTCAGGACATGATACTTGTCAAAGAAAGATGTGAGTTTAGTATGCATAATTTTTTCATATACCTTTGACAAAATCGGTACGAGCGCAATAGGACGGTAATTGTCCAAAATTGATTTTTTGTCCTTTTTAAACAATGGCTTAATCAAAGAGAATTTAAGTTACTCGAGGTGTTTATTTTTTTACTAGTTTTTTTTAGTATGAAACTAACAAGTATTGTACCATTTTACGATTCTGATTAATTGCGCGAACTTTTAATGGCACTTGCCAAGGCACTTAAGTACATTTTTTTTTAAAGGAGGGCCTTTCAAAGTTGACAAATTTTGAAAATTTTAAATTTATAGTTTAACAAATAGTCTTAATTCTAGAAAACTTGGGGCAGTTGTGTCATTATTTTTAACTGGTTCTAGAAATGTTATTTAGGGTTACGGTTCCAAAGTTTAAATGAACAAAAATAATAAAAATTAACCACAATAACCGAAAAATGGTTACAGTTTGACAAAATTTCTAGGTTTTTCTTAAATGCACATAATTTCCAAACTGCATGGGATAGATCTTTTTTTCTGATTTTTCTCATGATGGTTACTATCAATGCTGTCACCCAGTTTCGGCTTGACGTTGAGTTCTGGGACAGCCTGTATAAGGTAAGTGAATACCGCCGTCCATGATCAACTGCAGTACCAGGGGAATTGCAGAGTAACTGCGGCACCATAGCTCTCTCCATAGTTCACTGAGCAACCTCTAACTTCTTAAAGCCAGTATTGAAAGACCAACTTTCACTTCCATAAGTCATCACTGGAAATATGCACTGGTCGTTCACTCATGCGAGAAGATGTACCTACCAAAGTTGGGACTTACCTAGTTGAATAATATAACCTTGGTAAATATACTCTTCAACAACTTCATGCATAGCGCTCTCGAAAACTACAGGCAGGTGTAGTGACATGAACATTACACATATTAATATGTCAAATTCATAATAGCATGATTTTTGTTAGATTACATAAACAACTGCTTGTACATGAAACAGTAAAATGTAAAATAAATAGGTACTATATCAACATTTTGAATTGATGTTAAAATGGAAGCATGTGGTATCTTAGATCTTGAGTTATATAATAATGTTTGAGAGACTAAGGCGAAGTTTATTTGCATAAGTTAGGTGGTACCTTCCTAGCCATGGCAGTAGTTTCCTCCTCAATACATGACAAAAGGACATGCAATAATTCATGTGCATCTTGCTGGTCTGCAGGAATTACCCAACCAGCTGCTCTTAATGACTGCAATACACCAAGTGGACACACTGGTGTACCACGTGCTGACTCGTGTGTGCCATTTACCACTGAAACAAAAATAATATAATGCCGCATACAAACTTATGCAACATAACATGAAATGTAACTTGAAATGAAATAATTTGCCATCCACATTAGTGCAATGTTGGTGCAAAGTGCGTTACAATGGATCGTTGCAATGTAACACACACTTTGTAACAAATTTTCAGGCTTCTAGCCTTGCACGCGCTAAATGCGCATTTCGTGCGCACACTACGAGCATTTCAAGTCGCGCATGGAGCGATCCATGATTTTTCAGTTTTTCTAGCAAACACAGAGCGTGCTGTGTGCTCAGAATGCCAGTGCAGACTGGTTGTGTTGAGACGTGTGCAAACACGAACTGAAGTCTCATGTCATTCATTAATTCTGCACTGGCTCTCTGTCTATAAAACTATGTACATCACCAACGTTGAGGTTTTCAGCTTTTATTTAAGACCTCAGACTGACGCTACATTTGTGCGCACACTGGAAACAGATGTGAGTAGATACATGTTCGATTTGTGTATGCGCTGCGCCCACACTGATAAAATGCTCCTTTCATGTTACATTGCATGTGACCTTTCATCAATCTGTACGCAGTATAATATGCAAAAAAATTGCAAATAAAGGACATACAGGGATCCTCTTAGAAAAACTAGGGCCAGTCGCAGAAGTCGTGGGCCAGAAGCAGTCATCTCACACTTGTGTATAAGTATTTTACATCTGCAATAAACATACAGATGGGTAGGCAGAGACAGCGGACTTTTACTTTTAACAATCCTGCCACACTTTTCTCGCTTCTTACACATCCATATATTGGCATATGCATATACTATCATTTTGATAATAAACTTACATTTTGGGAGTCCACTTCCAACTCTGCCACTCACTTCTGCAGCATTAATTTGCTTTGTCACACTTTCCCCATTCATTCTTTCTATGTATCCAAACCACCAAACCATACCTTTCTCAATAGAATAGAATTGCATAGAACAGAATATTTTCAATATGGATTATTACTTTATAATAATTGAAAATCAATATTTTATTTATCACTGGTTTGGTAAATATCTCTGTCCTGAAAAGCACTAGCAAGAAACCCAAAAGGATTATTTTTTTAAACATATAATTTTATATGAATTATACATAATAAATAGGACCAACATAATAGTGATCACCTCATTTCCAGGAATTATTGTCATTAATGTATTCCTTAATATTTTACTAACCCCCTACCAACAGTTCTAAATTGATGAAATTTTTAAACTTGTTGACAATCATTGAACATTTTCTAATAAATCCTAGTAACATCATCATCACCCTTTACAAGTCCATTGCTGAACATAGGCCTTCCTCAAAAAATTCCACAAAGCAAAGAATATTCTTCTACATACAGAAGAATAGTCATTTATAAACAATTTCAACGATTTATTGAATATAAATCTTGCAAATGTTATGTTCATCCTTATCAATATAGGCAATCTAGTCTAACTACTACTGCAGAGGCAGTGGCAGTAGTACAGACTTCAATTTTCTTTACTTTTTCAGTAAAAGTCATCTACTTACTCCACTAAAAGTCTACTACTTCAGGCTGCCTCTATAGACTGCTCCATAGGAGGGATTGCCTTAGTTGCCACACTTGACATATGGGTTAGCAAATGCAGTTTTTTTATTACTTTGAATAATTTTATCAGATGATACTACCACCTGTCTCCTGTTTAATATCCTTTTGTTATCTTATACAATACCCACTAGATGTTATGAGGTAGTGGATACTCTAACGCCAGCCCTACTTGGCACATGTTTATGTTACATTAAGGGAATGTGGTAAAAATTAATCCATAAAACACACACCTTCAATAACTGTATACAATGTTGTTATCATACTGTTATGTGCATCTGCTTTCGCATATTTCTTCAACCATTCTATGAAAATAGGACAAGCGGCAAATGCTTGAAGAAGAGTGTTCAGAAAACATGTCCGCCCAAGATTCTGGAGACCTGCAATTTGTCCACGGCGCTTTCTAACTCGAGGTGCACCACCAGGACCCCATAAAACAAACGCTCCGACAACAACTGCAGCTGTTAATCCTGCAGCTACCAGGATTCTGTCTCCGCTATCCATTGCTATTTTGCATAGAAACTAGATAAATTTCTTACATAATAATAGTCATTCAAAGCTGCGCTATAATTATGTCACGAATATTTACAACAACCATTCGAACGACATCGAAACGACATTACATTTGTTTGTCAAAAGTCAAAAACATAGATAGGTCAAAAATGTAAGATGTAAGTGCTCGATCCTATTTTTTTTTTTGGAGTTTATGGCCTGGTATCTAGACCTTTAGGCCAAGTCTTGAGTATTTTTATTCGGTTTATTATAATTTCCCCACTGTATTTTTGATGAATTTATATAGAGGCACGTAATAGGATCTGGTTTTTAATATATAACTCAGGCGGCGGGAGGGATCTTGCACTGTCACTTGATTTTGCACTATGTCACTAATTTCACTGACACTGACTTTACGTGGTCATACACCCAAATGCCACATGGTGAGCGTTGAAAACTCCAGCCACATATATTGGCTTGAGCAAATCTATAATTATATCACGCCTCTCAATATATATCAAATATATTGAGAGGCCAAAGATAATTTATTTATTTCTTTAAAATTTTCTCTAAGGGATTCCTTTGGACCTAGATTATAAATTGCTCTTATGCCTCTCTTTTGCAAAACAAAGATAGTTTCAATGTAAGTCGCGTCACCCCATAGCAAGATTCCATGACATTATGCTATGGAAATAACTAAAACAAACTAATCTAGCTGTTTCAACACATGTAAGGCATCTAATCTTTTTTACAGCATATGCTGCAGAACTAAGTTTTCTAGCTAGTGTAGATATATGAGGGCATAAACAATGGATTCAACAAAGCCCAGCTCCTCCATTTAAGGGAGACATTCGAGGGAGGGCAGTATACACATAAAATCGTTAATTGTTTACCACTTACATATAACGATAATGCAAAAGTGTGAATGTCTTGGTAAAATCTGGTGTGAATAATATTATATTTAAAATACGGTTTGATCAAAATTGCTACTCCAACATGCTCATTTTGGGCGTTATGATAGTGGGAATTATATCCCGAAATTTTAAAATGCTGTGTATCTTTCAGCCAAGTTTCATTTAGTAGACAGATATCAACATTTTGCTCATCCAAAAATTTAGACAAAAAGGGTTTTTTCTTATGTATACTTTGAATATTGTACTGAGCTATGCATAACTGCTGTATGTTTTGTACTGTACTATCCATTAATGTGACAGATTTTTTAAAAGTAAGTCTTTAATGATCAGTGTAGTCACAGGTTAATTATCTGTTTTATTACCCAATTCAACTAAAGTTTGGACCATTGCCATCAGAATATTCTTATTGTTTGCAAGCCTTAAGTTGAGTTTGGTTCAAGTTGGGTTCAGGCACTGTTTTATTTAATTATTTACAATTTTTATGCTGCTCGACTGTGCAGGTAAAGACGAAAAATCAGATGACTTAATTTTTTTTTTCAAGTATTTTTTTCATTTTTATTGGGCAAGATTTGAAAGATTTTTTTCGTGAATCTTCTCACTGAAATAATTTCATAGATCGAAGACAGTTTTGTATATAAATTCTTGTTCAAAATGTTGGTAGGCACATATCTGATGATACCAGTTTTTTTATCTGCGCTGCAGGAATATGTGCCTTCAAGTTGTCCTTTGTTAAAAAATCTGTATTTGTGATAAAATTATTTGCAGTGTTGTATTGTTTAAAAACAACCGCAATTTTGTTGGCATTGACTCTATGTAAAGCTACCACACCTTTCACCTCCGAAGTAAAAATATGATTTAAATAAACTGGGCTTTTATTTCCAAGTTTAGCCTGTTGGTCCTGGCTTTTAACAAAAACTTTGAAGTCCGTATTTGTACAATGTTCAGGATAAAGTCTCAGATAACCTGGCTTAAAAAATGGAATAAAGTCATCCTCACCGCCGCCTACTTCAGGTTCACATTCCTTCGTACCTGTTTTACGAACAATTTTGGATCGCTTCGGGCTTCCACCTGGGTCTTCCGGTTCATTCATTTTAATAATTAACAAAATGTACAATTATTTACACTGACTAAAATAAGTTTTGGTAATATTTACACAGGATATTTTAACGAAAAACAGTAAAAATAATTAAATCGACTGCCACGTTTAGAGTTCCCGCCAATCTCCCGTCCTCGATCCTAATCATAGTCATCATCATCATCATTCATCATTACAGCCCTTCACAAGTCCACTGCTGAACATAGGCCTCCCCCAAAGTATGCCACAAAGCACGGTCCTGAGCCACCTGCATCCATCGACTTCCTGCATGTCTTACCAGGTCGTCACTCCATCTCGTGGGGGGACGCCCTACACTTCGCCTACCGGTACGAGGCCGCCACTCGAGAACCTTTCTTCCCCATCGGTTGTCGGTTCTTCGAGCTACATGGCCGGCCCACTGCCACTTCAGCTTACTAATCCGTTGGGCTATGTCGGTTACTCTGGTTCTACTGCGGATATCCTCATTCCTAAGTTTATCACGCAGAGAAACTCCGAGCATAGCCCTCTCCATAGCTCGCTGAGCGACCTTGAACTTTCTCATACGGCCAGGAATGAAGGACCACGTCTCAGTTCCGTAAGTCATCACTGGCAACACGCACTGGTTGTACAATTTCGTTTTAAAGTTTTAGGTATGTCTGACGAGAAGATGTGTCGTAGCTTCCCGAACGCTGCCCAGCCAAGTTGAATCCGTCGATTGACCTCTCGGTCGAAGTTGGACTTACCTAGTCGGACTATTTGTCCCAGGTAAACATACTCGTCAAAAACTTCGAGCTTAGTGTTCCCAACAACTACCGGCATAGGTGTGACATGGACATTAAACATGATCTTAGTTTTGTCCATGTTCATCTTAAGACCTATCCGTTGGGAAACACTATTGAGGTCATTGAGCATAGTGCTTAGGTCCTCCAGCGATTCTGCCATAAGGACTATATCGTCGGCATATCGAAGGTGAGTGATGTGCTCGCCATTGATGTTGATACCGTATCCTTTCCAGTCCAAAAGCTTGAAAACGTCTTCCAATGCAGCGGTGAAGAGTTTCGGGGATATGACGTCACCCTGTCTTACACCTCTCTGCAATTGGATAGGTTTCGTACTCTGGATCTGTACTCGGATAGCCATCGTAGCCCTACTGTACAAGCACTTCAACACTTCGATATACCGACAGTCAACTTGGCACCGCTGAAGGGACTGCAGCACCGCCCAAATTTCAACGGAATCAAAGGCTTTCTCATAGTCCACATACGCCAGACATAGTGGCAAATTGTACTCCCCGGACTTCTGTACAATTTGTTGAAGGGTATGTATGTGGTCTATGGTGCTAAAGCCTTTTCGGAAACCGGCTTGTTCGGGAGGCTGGAAGTCGTCAAGTCTGCGCGCGAGACGATTCGTAATGACTCTCGAAAACAGCACGTAGACGCGGCTCAGAAGGGAAATCGGTCTGTAGTTCTTCAAGAGAGCGTTGTTACCTTTCTTGAAGAACAAGACCACCGCAATTCTGCTCCACGACTCCGGTGTAATGCCACCATGGAGGACGGAATTAAAGAGCTTCTGAAGGGCTTCAAGTACCGGTCTTCCACCCGCTTTCAGAAGCTCCGCTGTAATTCCATCCTCGCCTGGGGCCTTGCCGTTTTTCAAGTGCTGGAGAGCCATTCTAATCTCGCTCAGACTGACGTCCGGGATATCTTCGGAATAGTGTCGGATGAGACTCGCTCTTGGATCGTTACTCACACTTGCGTGTGGCTCCAACGATGACGTGTACAACTGCCCATAGAACCTCTCAATCTCACTCAAAATCTCAGGTGTCCCGGAAACGATGCTGTCACATTCTGTCTTCAGCTTTGACAGTTGGCTCTTTCTGGCAGACAGATCTCTGGCAAAGACTTTGGAGCCTTGGTTCCGCTCGATCGCTTCTTCAATACGAGCTGTATTGAAGTTGCGTAAGTCCCGCCGCATGCATTTGGAGATCTGTCTGTTTAGATGCCTGTATGCTGTCAAGTCTGTTGAAGAATGTAGCTTCATCTCCCGTCTAACAGCCATGAGATTAAGAGTGTGATCGGAGAGTTTTTGTGTTCTTCTGCGGCGGGTCTTGCAGAACTTAGCTCCGACCGCATGGACAGTTTCCACGAGCTTGTCATTCATATCGTCCACTTCATTGCAGTCTTCTAGGCACTGAAAACGGTTTTGTAACTCGAGCTGGAAGGTTTCGGGACTTTGGAACAAAGCACGAGGGGGACGGAGCGTTGACTTCATTAGACGAGACCTCTCCAACTTAACGTTTAGGTTCAGTGTGCGTCTAACCATTCGGTGATCGCTACCAGTTTTCACCCTCGCGATCACGGAGACATCACTGAACAGTTGTCGTCTGGTCGTCATAATGAAGTCAATCTCATTTTTTGTCGAACCGTCGGGGCTCGACCAGGTCCACTTCCTGTGGGACCGCTTCTGGAAGAAAGCGTTCATCATAAAGAGTCCCTCTTTCTCCATGAAGTCGGCCAGCTGCTGGCCCCTTGGGTTCCGTTGCCTTATTCCAAATTTCCCTACTTTCAGCTCACCGTTCTCTATTGTGCCTAGTTTTGCGTTGAAGTCTCCCATTAACACCGTATATTGGGTTTTGGAGGAATGCATGGCTCTAGAGATATCCTTATACATTTCCTCCACCTCCTCATCGGGGTGTGCCGAGGTTGGTGCGTAAACCTGTATGACCTTCAGCGAATACCGTTTGGTGATTCTGAGTATAAGGTACGCAACCCTCATTGACGCACTCCCGATCTTTACAATGTTGTTAACGAGAGACTTGTGGACGATAAATCCGACACCTCCTTGGGACAGATGGTCGCCCTCCCGGTGATAGAGCTAGTTGCCGGATTCGAGGATTACCGTATCCTCCCCCTCTCTTCGGACTTCGGATTATCCTATATTATGCCAGCGCAACTTGTCTATCTCTTCTTCCAGCTCCACAATCTTCTCGTCAGTCTTCAGGGTGCGTGCGTTGTACGTTGCCA